GTTTCCAGCGACATTCTGTGCTTTTTAGAGCTAAACGAAGATCTGATGAAACTTTTGCAAGAACGAGACAATTTGCACATGGAACAGGATTCGGTGTTGGTCGACATAGCTGATTTGTTGCAGTAAGTGGCGCTGTTATCCCTTGAGTGGCTGTTGTTAAGTCACTGACTGGATTTTAGGCGTCAGAATTCGACGACGGCCAAACTTTCGGATTCATTGGTTGCCGTAGTTCCAGATGATTGTTCTAAACAGCAGAACATTTTATACCGACTTTTTAGAAAGTAACTTTCGATCGAAATAGTTTATTTTGACATACTTTTCGATAGCACTGTGTTGCGTGATGCTTTAATTACATTTTACTTTCATCATTTGCTTTGATGAAGTCATTGTGCGTGATATTCGAAACCAAAGTTCATTATAGTTTGTTGTCAAGGAAAATGTCTTTAATGGTTGCTAATTGTCGAACTAGTTTATTCTTTTTGCGTAGTAAATTATAAGATGTTCACGAAGCCATATTTGGTAACGCTGAAATTGTGGTTGCATTCGAGGCAGTGGTTTGCCTGCAAATGTTTCATAGAAAATTATTTGAACTCCAATTAAAGTTTTGCCTTGAACCTGATCGTTGAACATAACACACGCGACAGATTGATGTTTTCACTCTGTATCTCCTCGATTAATGCGACTTGCCGTAATTGTGTTATGCTTTGGTCATTTCACATCCGTAAGAATTATGAAGGGAAATTAAGATATTTTTAACGAGTTCAGCTTCTGTTACACTAGAGTTGTCTGAGTGTGATTTTATCAAATAAGTTCTTTCACTGTTAGACTTCGGTGGATTCATCTATCAGAAATGTTCTGATAAGTGCATAACTCTGCAAATTGTTTCAGGTCGTTGTGGCGTCGTTTCTCTCCTGAAATTTTAAACCGTATAAGCATGTTTTAGATCAACAGAATTCGCATGCAGTGCATAACTTCTCGCATTAGGTGGGAACGGGTCATATGGGCAATGCAATAATGCTGTGAAACTGCACTTGACGGCGCTTATAAACTATGTAAGAGCGTTCATATACATGTTTGATGATTTCGATAGCGTATAGCGAATTCTGGTTCACAGCGCTTCTGTTTACGCCATTAATAAGCGATGTATTGATCTTATCGTATGGCTGTTGAGGTTGAATGTATGTTATTGTTCAGAGTGAAACGGATTCGCTGTTCTGTTCTTAGTGGCAGTCTTTCGCTGTGGCCGTTTAATTGCCAGTTTTTGGCTGCTTGAACGTGCGGCGCTTTCCCTGTATGTCACATTGATAAGTAGTCAAGTCATATTAGCGAAAGCAATTATACAACAGAGCCTTTCGCACTTGCAGTCTTCTATCCTGGCTGAGAAGTCCGCAAAGTTCATACCGTTTATTTTCTAAGTTTTCGATTAAGTGGTTTTGGGGTGTAAGGCCCTAATCATTTCTCGGCTCGGTTCATTTTATCGAGATTCCTCTCCTGTTGCGTATAATTAAGCATTCTTATATTTTATAGTTACCTGTGAAGTAGGCTGAAATTGCGCTAGCAGGTCTGCTGGGTGCGGCAGTTTAACTAGCAGATTGCTCTAGCGAAGAAATTGGATACGTGATACATTTGAAATTGCACGTAGTCCAATATTGCAGAACCATGGCCTGTTTAAACGACTACTTGTGCAATGATAAGCGTGTAGCACGGTGAAAGTACGGTTTTGAGCGAGTTAAGCACTACTGACAGTTTTGATGATTTACACTAT